CCTCAGCCACACGGGACACCAGCGGGACACCGGCGGGACACCGCGGGCCACCGGCCGCCCGGAAGGGAATCATTTGGTCCGGCCGCGCCTCAGCCACAGGAGACTTTCTCTCGCCCGCCCACGCAGCTTCGCCTCGCCCGCGCGCACGGCACGCACGAACACGAAACCGAAATCGATTTCCCGGTAGGGGGGCTCTCCGTTCCACTTCGATCTCACCCCCTCACCTCCGATATATATATATATATAGACAGATAGATAGAGACTACAAACACATGTACATATGCATCACTCACACGTTTTATACGATATCTATATACACGTATATGGATACACGTTCTTATTCGCACCTGCATACAAATATGCATGTGTGTTTGTCTTGTGGGGATCAGAAGTCTGTACCTCACGCAGACGATGATATGAGAAAGCGGTACGACGACAAAATACGAAACTTAGATAAGACGATAAAGAAGCAGCAGACGATAAGACGGTAAGAAGATAAGGCAACACAGATCATCACCAGACGAGAAGACGAACATACGTTGAAACGATGCAGGGCCACATCATATCACAAGACGGTAAATCTATGAAGCAATATGATCGTATCATCGTTTTATCGTCTGGTGGGGCCCTATATCGTGTTATCGTCTCATCGCCTGGCGAGGCCATATATCGTCCTATCGTCTTACCGTACTGTATCGTCTTATCAACTCATCATCGTACCGCCTGGTTTTGGAATCACGACCACTATGTCCCACCCCGGTGGGTGTTGATATGCAAATATATTCAGGTGTGTGTGTATATATATACACATATACAGATGTATGTATCAACCACGGCCCAGGGTACGCATGGGGGATTCTGGGGGCCCCAGGCGCGCCCCTGAGGCTCCCAGTGGCCCCGTGGGCGTGCAGACAGCCAACACATTGGTACGATAGTCAGTCTACCGGATCGGTCAATCGCACCCGAGAGCGCCGAAAATGCCTTCCGAATGGCCTCCGAAGGCTTCTGGGCTGCGCCAGGACGGCCTCGGGCAGGTTCCAGTGGGCGCCCGAGGCCCCAGACGAGTACCCAGAGAGGCCCAAATCAGTGATCTCCCTTGCGGCCTTTTAACGTCTTTGGGGTCCTCTACGTTTCGGGTTTCCGACGCTGCACAACGGCCCAGAAGGTCTCCAACACCGCTTCAGGACGGGCCAGGCGGCCCCCTGGAGGTCCCCAGAACGGCCTTGCAGGGCTCCATGACGCCCCCAGGGGCGCCCAGGACGGCCCAAGAGGCCCTGCTAAGGGGGTCCTCAACTTGTCGCGTTTCTGAAAACCCGCGACGGGCAGAGAAGCCTCCAACACCGCACCAGGACGGGCCACGAGGCCCCCAAGAGGACCCCGGCGGGGCGGCCCAACAGGGCTCCAAGACGGCCCAAAGGGGCGCCCAAGACGGCACAAGGCGCTCTCAATACGGCCTCAAGATGGGCTCAAGAGCGAGCGAGCGAGCGAGCGTCCATCTGGCTCTACTGCGGGTAGAGCCGCGCCCATTTGGGCGGGACGAGCAGAGCCGTAGCCCTGTTGGAAAAAAACAAAGCGTGAATGATCTCATGTCGCGGTCACGAACTGGTCCTCCATACTTCGCCATTATGTGAGATTCCTTGCCATCTGTGTCCAAGATGGGCTCAAGAGGGGGAGCACGAGCCGAAATTCCGATGTCTTCGCCCCAGGAGGCTCCCAGCAGGCCCCAAGAAGGCGCCAGGACGGGCACGGGCAGGCATGGGCCCGAGGCCCCAGACGATTGCCTCGGGAGGCACATCTGTGATGCCCTTCGGATTGTCTGATGTTTTGAGGGGCTGGCCCTCGTCCTCGTCCTCCTCCTCCTCCTCCTCCTCCTCCTCCTCCCCCTCCCCCTCCTCCTCCTCCTCCTCTCCCTCCCCCTCCTCCTCCTCCTCCTCTCATCCTCCTCCTCCTCCTTCCTCCTCCTCCTCCTCTTCCCCCTCCTCCTCCTCGTCCTCCTCCTCCTCCTCCTCCTCCTCCTCCTCCGCATCCCGTTTGTTGTGGCCCTCCAATTGTGTGTTTCAGACAATCCACGACGGCCCAAGAGGCCTCCAACGTCGCCTCAAGACGGGCCCCGAGGCACCCGGGAGGGCCCCGCGGCGTCCTAACGAGGCTCCATGACGGCCCCGAGCGCGACCTAGACGGCCTCGGAGGCCCTACAGACGGCCCCCAAAATGGGCCTCAGGAGGGAGAGCACGAACCAAAACGTCAAAATCTTTCGCCCCAAGAAGCTCCCAGGAGGCTCCCAGAAGGCTCCAAGAGGCTCCAAGAGGACCCCGAGAGGCCCCCCACGATGCCCCAGAAGGCTCCAGAACGGCCCCCAAGAGGCCAAACAAAGGGCCCCAAAGAGGCCACCGCGAGGCCCCCTTCGACACCGGGAGGAGGGGGAGGGGGAGGGGGAGGGAGGGGGAGGGGGAGGGGGAGGGAGGAGGAGGAGGAGGAGGAGGAGGAGAGAGGAGGAGGAGGAGGAGGAGGAGGAGGAGGAGGAGGAGGAGGAGGAGGAGGAGGAGGAGGAGAGGAGGGACTTCCGATCCATTACTCAGGCGCGGTGGCGAAATGGGTCGAAGGCCATTCCAATCTCTTTCGCACACCCACCACGCTCCTTCTCACACTGCTTGCCGTGGCCTTTCCAGCTCCTACAGTAGCCTCACACCTCCCCCTATCACACTTCCAAGCTTCACCACCGTGTCAAGATGCTCGAACGGTTTCATCTGGATGTCCTTTGAGCTTTGCAGCCTCATGTGGGGGTCCCTGGAAACCTCCACGTGGACTCCAACACGGCCAACACCACCATGTTCCCACTGAGCCTTCCACGAACATGACTGTCGCCGCCAGTCCGACGAGCAGACCGAATAGGAGGAGGAGGGCCCGCGCCATCCCACCAGACACTCCAATTCAACATAGCATTGCCCGGGGACCCGTTCACAGCGGAACCGGATCGGACCCGCGGCCCTGCTCCGACGGGACTCGGTGTCGAGGATGCTGCTTGCCACCTCCGCTCTCCTCTGCGAGGCCCCCAAGAGGCTCCCAGAGGTCCCCACACGTCATGTACCGAATCAAAGGAGGAGGAGGAGGAGGAGGAGGAGGAGGAGGAAGAGGAGGAGGAGGAGGGAGGAGGAGGAGGAAGAGGACGAGGAGGATGATGATGAGGAGGAGGAGGAGAGTGAGGAGGGATGACGAGGAGGAGGAGGAGGAGGAGGAGGAGGAGGAGGAGGTGGAGGAGGAAGAGGAAGAAGCAGGACGAAGACCAGGACGAGGAGGAGGACCACGACTGGGCCCGACTCTCTCGGATTTCCCCTCATTTTGGCCCACGACATTGTGACCCCTTCTGGAGCCTCACGGGCCTCGCCCCCGCCGCTCAAATATTCCAGGAGGCTCCCAAAGAGCGACCAGAGTGGCCTGACAGGGCCGACGACGCCCGAATAAGACGGTGCAAGAGGCCCCGAAGACTCTCTAAGGAGGCTCCACGATACGCCCCGAGAAGGCCCAGGGGTCCCAGATTCCCACCAGCCCTCTGGGCGACAGGTGGTCGAAGGAGGGCCTCTTTCTTCTTCCACAACCCCCCTTCCCTTCGGGGAGGGGCCCCCTCCCCCTCCCCTCCCTGACGTTGTTTGGGAGGTTTCGCGAGGTGTCGGAGGCCCTTGTTTCGGCCAGTGGGAGGGCAAACGTTTGACACCCCATCGCGAGGATCGTGGCCCCCGAGGGGGGGCGCAAATCTAGCACCCCCCTCTCGTTTGACCGACCGCCTCCGAAATGGCCCCAAGAGGCCATCCAGGGTTCCCAAGAGGCCCCCAAGAGGATTCCACGAGCGCCCCGAAAAGGCCCCAAGAGGGCTCCAAGAGGCACCCGAGAGGTCCCCAAGAGGCCCCCGAGTGGCTCCCAATCGGCCTCAGAGAGCCCCAGATGACCTCCAAGATGACTTAATATAGTCCAAGCTGGCTCAAGATGGCTCCCAAGATGCCCCAAGGGGCCCCAAGACCGCTCCAAGATTGCTCAAAATGGCCACGGAGCCTCCCCAGGAGGCCGCCAAGAGGCCAACATCCTTCAGCAGCCTTCTCTTCCTCTCCCCCCGTCAGCTCTCGCGGGCATCGTTTCTGGATGGGCTGGTGGGGGTACTTTTCCGTCGCAGCCGCAAGCGAAGGCGCAGGCGGCGTCAAAGGTCAACCCGGTCTACGGGCGAAGCCTAATGCTGGTGGGGATACTTTTTGCTCACGGGCGGATGCGGATTCGCAGTCGCCGAGCTGAGAGGTCCAGGCCACGGGCCGCTTGTGGGGATATTTTGTTGGTCGGCGGCTCTGAGGCGGCGGACAGGGAGCGAAAAGGCGTCGTCTGGGCCAGCAGGCGAGGCGAATTACCTACAACAGGCAACGCACCTGCAGTAAAAAATCGCAGAGAATGCGAGGTGTGCACATGCATTAAGCAAACTGCTCCACAGTAAGGCGAACGCACCTAGGCGCCAGCCACACCGAGGTGAAGCAGCCGCAGTGCTACGCAGCGGGAGTCGCCCTGTCGGCGCCAGTCCGCGCAGCCAACCTAGCCGATCATACAGGTAGCACCGAAGCAACACGCTGACGGCTGAACCACTCAGCGCGAGGTACCACCGCCGTACGCGGGGTCGGCTGAGACAGGGGCAGAGGAAAGGCAGGGACCTACAGAACTCTCACTCCACGATCCACACCGCTGCCCATGGTGGGGCCGGTGCGTCAGCCATCGTTTCCGAAACCAGTCACAGGCCAGGAAGCAACGACGAAAGGACACGCAGGCCCAAGCGCCAGTACTGCCACCAACTGGTGGGGATACTTTTTTTGATCGGCGGCTCCAAGGACGGCTCCAGGGAGCGGGTCAATCTCGACTGGGGAAGACTGGTGGGGATACGCGAAGCGTCCAGAATTGTTTCGTCCCATAAGCAAGCAAGTTGTTTGGCGACGGGCCCATCCTTGTGCAGTCATGTGTAGCGCAGAGCGCGGGTCTCTCTTCATACACTGCGCGCCGCGGGGCAACGCGGAATGATGGCTGCTGCGGAACGCGTGTGCACGAGTGCGCTGAACTCCGTATGTGGTACGATCCGCGTGAAGAGTGTGCCGAATAGTTCGGATGCTCCCGCGCGAACAGGCTCGCTGAGGCCGCAGGTGGATCTCGTCCAGGAACAACCCGTTCGAGGCATGTTCCGAAATGGGATGGGGGGGCCATACGAAGCTGCCCATTGGTACCATAGGTGGAGCTCCTTCTGGGGCATGACTCGCGTGACAGGAGTGCCGACATGGGCGTCATGGCGATGTACGAACCTTGTCTTTGGGCCTGTGGGCACGATCCGCGTGATGGGGTCTGCCGCATTGGCTATGGGGGGGCGCAATGCGAACCCTGCTTCTGGGGCCATAGGTGGAGATCCCTGTGTGCCACGACCAGTGTGAGAGGTGTGCCGAAATAAGCAAGGGGGGCGGGATGCGAACCTTGCCTCTGGGCCGTCCGTGGAACTTGTTACGGGCCACGATCCGTGCAAGAGGTGTGCCGAAATGAGCTGGGAGATACTATGCAGCTTTCCTATGGTGCCACAAACGCATACTTGCGGGGCACGATCCGCCTAGAGGCGTGCCATTCTGCGATCATTGTCTCTGGGAACGTAGGTGAAGCTTCCTGCAGGGTTCGATCCCTGTGAGGGGTGTGCCGACATGGGCGGCGGGAGGGTCCTAAACCAAGCCTGCATCTGGGGCCGCACACTTGAGACTTCCTGAGGGGCACCATCCGTGTGACAATCTGTCCTCCGATGCCGAACACTCTAGACTACAACTGGAGCATGCTATAATCTAAGCGCGCTAGCGCGCGTGGTTCTGGCACACAGATATGCGCACACTTTTTGGCGCACCGTCCGCGCGCGCAGCTTCGCAGTGTAATGATTCAGGCAGGCGGAAGAAGAGGAGCGCGCGAGGCTCTCAATCAACACACGCACACACTTCGAGATGCACTACTTGCACAACATCGAACCAACCACCACAAGCCAATGCTGCAATAAGCGTTCTGAGCGGCCAGGACTGCATACCTAAGGCCAAGCACTCCTAACGCGGGGCGGCGAAAGCCCTGAGGCTCGTCGCCATTGCCGAAAACTACAGCCGCGTAACAGGATTGACATCCACGTGTGAGATTGGCTAACCGAAAGATGCCGACTCTCTTTGGATGCTCGTTCTGGGGACCTTCCTGGAGCCACTCGCTCCACTCGTGCGTCGAAGCTGCGTCGAATGTCAGTCGATTCGGGTCGACCTGAGCCGAACCTGAGTCGAACCTGAGCTGAACCTGAGTCGAACCTGAGTCGAACTTGAATCGAACTTGAATCGAACTTGAGTCGAACTGGGGTCGAACAGATCCGTTAGGTGGGCTCCAGGGAGGTCCCCGAAACGAGCATCGAACTCTCTTGCTCCCTAGACCTCTCACGAGGTGCGTTCTGACCACGCTTCCGAGGCGAACGCAGCCGCGAAGACGAACAAAAAACCCGAGTGGGCCCCAACAAAAACAGCATCGAGGAAACCGGAAACCGTGTCGGCATCGGTAAGCTCTCCTCGCCCGAGGAGAGCTCAAAGCTGGTGCTCGAATTCAACATGTATAGCCGCCGGTCCCCATTGTGGGACCACCAGGCCGCGGAAATTCAAGCTATTGCTATTGTTGGTTGTGCTGTTGTTGTTGTTGCTGTTGTTGTTGTTGCTGATGCTGTTGTTGTCAATGATGTTGTTGGTGGTGGTGGTGTGGCCATTTAGTTGCTCGAACGTTCCTCTCCGTGCCAACTCGCGGCATGCATAGCGCTTCTTATCGTGTCGCAACTGTCCGAGTGCGGGCCTGCCTGCAGACTGGCCGCGAACCTTCCATGGCAAGCACAGCACGCGGCTCAACAGTTCTCAGTGAAAGTGGCCACGCGATCCCTCACACCCCCAGAGCACCGCGCGGGACAAATACTCCATCGGCGAGTTTAATTTGATGTTGAACCCACTGCCATCAAAAACCTTTGCCTGCCGACGCCCGCCGCGGCGCGCACACCCTTTCGTGCCGACGCGCGTTGTCACGATGACCCTTAGCTTTCAGACGCGGGCGGCACGCAGATCGTTTTGCGCTGCTGCGAAGGGCCAGAGCTTCTTCAGATCCACGATCAACCCAGTGGACGCGCTAGGAGAGGTGTCAAGGGAAGCGCTATCAGGAACGTAACATGGGATGCGATACTGAACGTATCAAAAGACGCGCCAGGAGAACAGCCAGGGATGCGCTGGGGGGCGGGTCAGGGGACGTGCCATGGGAGGTGCCGCGCGACGTGCCAGTGAAGGTGTCAATCGACGCGCCAGAGACGCGCCAAGCAACGCACAGTGAAACGAGGTAAAAGGAAGATGTGACAGGGGACGCGACACGGGAAGTACCGCGCGACTCGCCAGAGGACGCGTCGTGGCACCTGTCGGGGGGGCGTGCCGAGGTACGCTCCAGAGGTGACGAGCAGGGGAGTTGTGCTGCAGACGCGCCATGGGACGCGTCAACATATGGGCAGTTTTTTTATACATAGTTTTTATATAAAGATATAGGATTTTTAATACATGATTAAATTATGGATACATGCATGCATGAACTCATCGTTGCTTTTAATACTAAATCCCTGCATTGTTAATACATGATCCGCACGCGGAGCATGCATTAAAAACGGCACTGTATGGGCAAGGAGAGGCGCCAGTGGACGCACCGCAGACGTGCCAGGGGGTGCGCCAAGTGGCGCACTGCGAAACAAGCCGTGGGGACCTGTCCGAGGAGGAAAAGGTACCCATATACCTCTACCCTCCCCTCGTTCTTCCTTCTTTGGGGGCCTCCTGGGCCTCCGTCGTCGCCACCGCTGGATTTGCCTCGAAATCCGTGTCAGAACGAGCCCCAGGAGAGGTCTGCGCAGGGCGGCGCGCCACAGAGAGTGCGCACCAGGGAACGAGCCAGTGACGCATCCGACTCGTGGGGCCTCCTCCACCAGCCAAGCCAGCCCCCTCATCGCCCTCCCCTGAGAAGGGTCTCAGGATCGTTGTCCCCCTGTGGCCTCTCATGGATCAAAACGAACCTGCGCTCCCCCGGGCCACGATCCCTCGCAAAATCGCCGGAGCAGCACTCCCAAGGCAACGACCCCAGGTGGAGTCGATGGATCCGTACCCCCTGCGCCACGATGGGTCCGCACGATCCCTGTAGCTCATACTGGTTCGGAGCACCTAGGGCCGCACTGGATCCGCGCTCCCATGGCCACGACCCTTCGCAATTTGAGCTGGATCCGCTGCACGATGTCACTTGCGGTGGGTCGGCGCTCCCATGGTCATCACGATCCCCGGTACATTACGCCAGCGCCGCGCTCCGAGGGCCAGGAATCTAGGACATTGCGCAAGTTCCGCGCTCCCGGGGCCTCCTGAAACAACCTCCGCACCATCTATGTGTCAATGATTCTGTGCCGGGTGCACGCCATCCTCGAACGCACGCGCAAAACTAACGCCTCCGGACCGGCTTGCGTATTCCTTTCCGGACTCTGCGTAGAGCGCTTCACACCTTGACGTATTGAAGCGCACGTGGTCGGCGGACCCCGCTGGTCACCAAGGACTCGATGCGAGGGGGCAGCACTTCCCTCCAGCGGGTCGCATGTTGCTTGAACACAGTACCCTTGCACTATGTGCTGTGCAATACGGTTCCTGTGGCCTGTCCCGAGCGTGGAGCCCAGGGATCGAGCCCTCTCCTCCTCCTCCTCCTCCTCCTCCTCCTCCCCTCCTCCCCTCCTCCCCCTCCTCCCCCCCTCCCCCTCCCCCCCCCTCCCTCCTCTCCTCCTCCTCCTCCTCCTCCTCCTCTCCCTCCTCCTCCCTCCTCCTCTCCTCCTCCTCCTCCTCCTCCTCCTCCTCCTTTTTTCAGTGGCTCTCTCTCTTCACCCCACCATTCCAGGAACGAAAGGGCTGCGGAAAAGAAAGCAAGAGAGGGTACACAGCAACAGCGCACCCCTTCCCAGCAGCCTGGACGACGGAGCCAGGAGGGCCAGCAAACCGCCCTCCCGGGCCAGGGAGAGGGACGCGCAGCTGTCTACCCCCAGGACCGAAGCACGCATCCGAGCCTTCAGCAGGCACCTCTAAGGCCGACTGACAGCACGATCACCTCCTGCCACAGAGCTGTTCCCACCACTCTCCCCCTTCGGGGCCATCGGGGGTAAGTGGCCAGGGGTGTGACACATGCTGGCCCTCAGGCCAGGGAGGTCGACCATGTAATATTTGGCGCCTCTGCTGCACGAAAATCTGATCACAGGGGCCCCCAAGCTTCCTCGGAAGCCCAGACGTATAAGCCCCGCAACGCATACAAAACACTATCGGCAAGCCCGTTTCGACCACCCGACACACATGTAACTTATGAGGGCGGTCTAACGGCATCTCAGCCAGCCTCTTGAGGGCTGGGGGGAGAAGAGTACACCTACCAGGGGCTCTCTTATCATTAAAGCACCTGGCGCACTGGACACACCTCCAACGGCTCCTCCTCCTCCTCCTCCTCCTCCTCCTCCTCCTCCTCCTCCTCCTCCTCCTCCCCCTCCTGCTCCTCCTCCCTCCTCCTCCTCCTCCTCCTCCTCCTCCTCCTCCTCCCCCTCCTCCTCCTCCCCCTCTTCCTCCTCCTCCCCCTCCTCCTCCAGCTGGAGCTGGGGGACGGGCACCCACACTGAAAAATGCCTCGGGACCGAGCCCTTTCCAGGGAAGCGAGTCTCTCCCAGGGAGACCCCAACACGGGGCAACGTTGGGCCACCGGGCGACGTTTGCCCAGCGTTACCCACCAGACAAGCTTGGTCACCAGGAGGCCCCCAGATGCCCCTAGCATAACTCTAAAATACGCATAGCCCCAATATCGCATCCACTGGACCCCATGACTGCATCATATTGCCAACTTTGGCCTCAAGGTGGCCCGGAGGTGGCCTCGCAGTGCTCCTTAGATGGAGTTCCAAGAGTTAGCTCCAAGATGGAATCAGGGAAAGAAAACAATGACGATACCAATGCTTTTTGGACCTCTACCGAGGTGCGTTCTGACCAAGATTCGAGGGCGAGTCTAGCCGTTACGACGAGAGCCCTCCAGGAGGCCAATCGAGGCGACAACGATACAAGGGCATTGTTTCTCCTCTGGAGGATGTCCGAAAATGAGTCAAGCTAGTTAAAACAGTCCAAAGACGGCACCAGGCAGCCCCAGGTTGGCTCCAAGAGCGCTCGAGGACGCTTCTAAATCCCACCAGCCCTTTGGGCGTGAGTGGTTTAGAGAGCTCTCTCTGTTCTCAACCCCCCTTCTTCCCCTTCGGGGAGGGGTTTACCCCTCCCCCTACCCCCTCCCCCTGGGCCTGGAGAGGTCCCTCCGCGGGTCGTCACAGGGGTCATTTTCGACTCCTGGGGGGGCTAAAAAACGACACCCCTCACGAGGATTCTGGCCCCGACGGGGGGAGTCAGAAAAACAACTCCCCTCTTCTTTGAAGCCAGAATCATTGATTTTACAACGGTTTTGGCCCCATTTTGGCCTTCTGAGGGGGCGGCGCTCATTAAAGCTCCCCTCTTCCTCGAAGCCAAAATCATTGATTTTACTAAGGTTTTGGCCCCATTTTGGCTTTCTGAGGGGGCAGCGCTAATTAAAGCCCCCCTCTTCTTTGATCGATTTCCTCCAAGATGGCCCCAAGAAGCGCCCAGGAGGCACCAAGAGGCCCCAAGATGGCCCCAAGAGGACCCCAGGACAGGACAGGACAGGACAGCCCGCGCATTGGCACCAAACTAGGGTGCTGCGGGTGTGGCGCCGGAGCGCCGGCCATTACGGCAAAGGAAAAAACAGCGGAGGAGGAGGAGGACGACGTCGAAGAAAACGAGGCCCGGTCAGAAATTCACATGTGGTGTTGCGTAAACTGTGCTCCAATATCCTGCCAAGAATCATTTGATGCAATATCAAGAATTGCTGGAATACTCACTTCGCCACATTCCAACGTATCTTCGACATGATTTCTGACGTCGTCGATCCATCTGGTTTCTGGTCTTCCCGTCCTGCGTCTGGCATTATATACTCGGTCATGTTGTGGAGTCCATTGAATGACTTGTCGTATCCATTCCAGTTCCTCCGTTGCACTCAACTTCCGTACCCACTGCCATTTCCTCTG